CGCGGGGACTAGCGTGCGCGGCTCGCTCGGAGCCGCCGGGTAGGGTCACGTGATCCCGCCCCAAGATGGCCGCTGCCGCCCTCTTGTTTTGATGAATAATCTCCGCGCGGGGCCGGGGCTGGGGCTGGGGCCGGGGCAGCGGCAACGAGGCGGGGGGTACGGACATCATCTCACTGCGGAGGGGCCTGGGGTTGCGGCACGGGGGACGCCCGGGGAAGGGGGCGAAACAGCAGCCGGGGGACCTGCAGCAAGAGCAGCGCCGGCGCCCGGAGCGGGGGAGGGCGCGGGGGGTAGCGGCCGCTGAGGGGAGAGCCTGGTGCTCGCTGGCGGCCGGGCAGAGGGAGAGGGGGGCGCCTCCCGGGTTGTTGTTCTCCACCTCTGACTATGCAATTCTGAGACATCCCTGGGGGAAGAGACAGCAGGACACCACTCCCCGTCCTCCCCAAACTCCCGCCCCACACAGGAGGAAAAAGCCCCCCCACTCCTTTCACCATTAAGAGGAAAACGATGGAGGAGCTGAGCGCGGATGAGGTGAGTCCGGGGGCCCGGGGTGGCGACAGGGGACTCGTGGGAGGGAGGCTGGGCCAGCATCCCAGGGCTGCCTGGTGCTCTTGAAGAGCCGAGTGCAGGCGCTGAAGGGGTGTTGTGGGCACTGGAGTTGTACCCGGGGTCCTGCATAAGGGGATGTGGGCGCAGAAGAGGGGGAAATTGGCTCCAGGGCATGTATGTGTTGCCAATTCAAAGAGGCAACTTTCATAAGAGACATTAGCTCTGTCCAAGGTTTGCATTTGATATTTGTGCAGCAGCTCAATTCTTTTTTTGGGAGCCTTTTGTTATATTGCTTGAAGTAAGGGGCTGAGTCCCTTTGCTTTTTGTGTTTGGGGGTGGGGGGGTGTACACCTGCCAACTTGTCTTAATTTAAAAGAAGACCCCTTCATATTAGGTGAGTTCTTGCCAGTATTGTTAATAGTTTCTTGATGTGTTTTTTATTTTGTTTCCAACTGAGGTGTTTAAAATTGCCACCTTGAGCCTTTCCTAGCTCCGAGGGCTGGCGTGTATGTGCAATTTTATATTTAATAGTCTTTTTGTTGGCTTTGTGAAGATCTTGAGATCATGTTGGAATGGGCCCTTTTTCCGTGGGTTACCTCCATTCACTTAACTTTTTTACATTTCTTATTTCTCCAACTGAAAACTGTTAGTGATTTGTGGGTGATACAGACCTGACATGGGGCAAAACATTTTCAAACTGTTTCCTGATTCTTCTTTTAAACAGGTGCCCTGCCTACTATTAGGCTTTTTTCTATTTTGTTCATATTTAAGTGCCCAGTCAGATGATTTATAATATGCTAGTGAGGAGGATGTCAAGGGGGTTTCCGCTTCCACAATGTGATACCTACTTAAGACATGAATGCAGATCTTCCCTTTCTTTCAAATGTTTTCATAAGAAAGTACACTATAAATAATGAATGATCTCAAGTTAGCTGCAGTTTAAGGTTTTCTTGCTTTTCTGTTAGATTTATTGCAGACTTCCACTCTAAGGTTAGGATGGTAGTGTTAGTGGGAAGAAATGACTTTCATGTTGATGACTGGATTGTGGAACAAGGCTGTTGCTGCTGTCGCTCAAGCTTGTATTCCAAAAGGTAGTGATGTGTTTTGATCATGTTGTAAGTTATGATTTAGCAATTCTACTGTGTTGCAATAGGAACCAGGAAAAGTGCCTTATGAGCACTTGCTTGATGAGGTCTTTATATACTGTGGCACTAGAGAGAGGGAGACTACAATTCCCATATGGCACTGCCCAGGAAGGTGGGGGGGAGGGGGTGATGCTAGTACTCATCGGGAGGAGCCTATAATTTAGGAGGCATGTTTAATAAGTAGTGTGTTTATCTCTCATTCTTCTAATAATACTGCTCAACTGTATCTTACAACGAGGTATTTTTATAGGGATTCAGAGCTGTTCATCCCACATAAACCTACTTTATATCACTATTGTTGTAAATTACTGAGAAAAATGATGCATTGTGGAAGCAAGATAGTGGAAGTCTTGTATTTTCTCCAAAATAGTCCTTCATTTGGAAAACCCTTGTCTTAAGTAACTTAGTCTTCCCCAACCTCTCCATTGCAATTTTGACTAAAGAACAGCCTTTTGGTAGTTGCTTGTGGCATGTTTCGTGTTATGTCGTCTAAAGAGATCAGTCCCTCCAATTTTTGTTGTTAACGTATACACTCTTTTAATTAGAAAGGACATTCTTTAGAACCATGTTTACTTTATTCCCCCCCTCAACATATTTCTGTTTTCCTACTACTCAAGGCAGCAGGGTATTTATCGAAGAATGGTCGCTGGTAGAGAATATAGCCTTTTTTTAAATGGCCATGTGTCTTGCCGTATATTGTACTCAAAGCTACTCCTGGAATTAGGTGGAGCAGGAGTGAAAAGAAAACTCTAATAGAAGGCAGTGTCAATAATCACAGAAGTTGGACTATCTTCTCATTTCAAAATATATTTTAAGTACAGTATAATTTAGCTGATGAGCAGAAATACTGTTTTTTCTGTTTAAAAATGGTAAATTATCTGATTAAAACCCCCAAAATCTGTGATTAAAATGAAACACCACTATGTATGTATGTACATCTGTCAATTGAACACAATATTTTATTAATATATTTACAATTTTAAAGCACTTTAGAAGCCTACCAGTACCTTAATCACTATAATAGAATACATTCTAAGTACCTGTAAATTTTGGTATTTGATTTTGGGTTTTTTTATCATGAAAAATCAGAGCTCTCCCTGCTCACTTAGCTCACCTGCACATGGGTCCTGGCCCCATATTCTCACCTGCAGCACCCTGGGCCCTGCTGGTACCCCTCACTCTCCATCCACAGGCCCCCCCGCCAGCTACCAGGGCTACAGGGCCAGGGACCTGGGTCTGCAGCCCCCTGCTCCCTGCAGCAGTGCCCAAGCCTCAGCTGTCTCCAGTGGGAAGTGGTGGCTGCTGCAGCACAGTAGAGTGCAGAGCCTTGTTCCCTGTCCCCCACAGGTGGCATGGCTGGAGCACCACCCATGGAGCAGGGTGGACGTAGGCTGCCCACTGTGGGTTTGGGCTTCCTGCCCTGCTGCCCTCTCCATGGGGTCTCTGCGGCCCAGCAGGCAGGATCTGGCATGGCAGAGCAAAGCCAGGCAGGGAAGCTTGTTGCCACCACTGGGACCGCCATGCTGCCATGGTGAAGCACCCCCTGCTCACCTGGCAGCAGCAAGGGCCACAACTTCATGCTGCTGCCCCTGCTGCTGCCTGACAGGCAGGGAGTGCTTTGCCAACATGGTGCGGAGTTCCCAGCAGTAGCAGGGAACTTCCCTGCCTGGGCCTGCTCTTGCCCTGCCATGCTGAGTCCTGCCTGCTGGGCTGCAGAGGCCCCAGATGGAGGGAAGTAGAGCAGGGAGCCTGATCCCACAGCAGGCAACCTGCCTCCATCCTGCACACAGATCTGGGGGGCACATGCCCCCCATGCCCCTCCTGAGCGTATGCAAAGCAGTGGGGAGCTGGCCCTGTCACCTGAACAAGCTACCCGCGGCTCCATCCCGCTTCCTGCTGAAGCCCTTTGGCTGCGCATTCCAGCCCTGGGCCCCAAGCACCACGCGCCACCTGGGCTGGGCCACAGCCCTGCCCACCTCACTCCCTCCCTGTGGGGGCCTCAGTCCTGCCCCCCCCCCCCCCCCCCCCCCCCCGGGGGGGGCCCCAGCCCCCCCCCCCCCCCCCCAACTTACCTGCAGGAGCTTCTCTCCAGGCTGCCTGGCAGCTGTGTGCATGTGTGAGCGCACATGCACGTGTTGCCTCCTGCCTGACAGCCACCTCCTGTTCCCCCCAGCACATTGCAGGCTGGAACTCAGCCAGGCTGTAGAGAGCTCTTTGCAATAGTGGAAAATCCATGCGTTTTTGTGTTAAAATGAAAAAAAAAACATGTTTTTCTTAGTTAAAAAGGAAAATCTGCTTTTTTTTTTCTTCCATTTTTCCATGGGAAATGGAAAACCTAGATCCATGCTGATGAGTGCAGCAGGTGTCTGAGACCCCTAATATAATTTAATAAATTTAGGAAATTAGCGACAAAATACAGAAATGTAATTTAAAAAAACAGAATATAAAATTAATACAGTACTAAATATAGTGTCAGGTCCCAATTTCAGTTAAATAAGAGGGATTTTTACTATTGATCTTAATCTTGATGCACCTTGATCTTTTTCCTATGGAAGATTGCTTTAGTGTGAAGTGGTAAGTGTCTGATGGGATATTTTGTAAAAGCGCTGGAGCCTTTGTATTGTGAGAGTTCACCAACATATGGAATTGAACCTTTGCCATGTTTTGGGTGTGAATTGTGGCATCAGTGGCATAGCAAAAAAGCAAGCCAGCAAGGTTGTATGGTATATTGTTAGTTCTCTCATTCCATCATGGAAGTAGATGATGTTTTGTCATACAAACATAATCACCATGTAAAGCAATATATGAAGAGAATGTGGCATATTTCTATGACAGATATTGCTGTGCATGATAAATTATAGTTGAAAGAAATATGGGCTGACTATTGTTTAATAAAGTGCTATTAGTGAATGATGAGCGTCTGTCTGGTTGTTAACATTTTATCTGTTAGGAAAATATGCTTCTTTAATTCCTCCTTCTTTCTCTTCCTTATTTGTAAGTCTTCTTGAAGCTTTATTTTTTTCTGGGCTTGTGCCTCCATGATATGATGTTCCTGCTTTTTTAAACCATAGTGTTAATAGACTCTGGTTTACATTGTCAGTTAAGAACTTTTCATTTTGCTCTTTGCGGGATTCAGTTTTATACCTTTTAGGCTGATCAAACCTTTATTGAAGTCAAAGGCCCTCTGTTCACTTCAAGGACTCTTGGATTGGACCTTTGTTCCTTATGGCTTCTAGAGTAATTTAAAGATGTCTGTTATCCATGCTTATGCCTTTAATTAGCTCAGGGCAGAGACTAACATTTGTCTAACGAAGAGTATGTTTATGACACTAAAGTTGCATGCTGATGCAACTTTTAAAAGTACCATAATAAAGCAAAGTATGATAGTAGCTTAAGAAAGGGTGAGTAGAGAGTCTACAAGAGGTGGAAATGGCAGAAACAGTGGGGGACTGAGAGATGAGAGAGAAGAACCAGGACAGAATTGAATGAAAAATTTTGAGCTGCAGGTAAGAGCGGAACGGCAGAACGGAAGAGCAAAATAGAAATGGAAGAAGGGAAAAAATGTTGCCTAAAGTTTGTGGGGGGCAACTGAGACCAATTGTTTCTTAAAATTTCTGTGTTTTGTTTTACTAGGCTTTATAAACCTCATTAACCTCTACGATGACAAGTGTATACAGAAGATGAATATTTCTTAAGATTAATTTCATGCTGTAACTGAGATCACAAAGAAGTAAAATGATATACTTGGTATTAAAGATAATGACAACTCTTCTATTGGTATCTTGCTGTTCAGCTTTGAAAATGCTTGTTGATGATGGAAGAATAAGCTGTTTTCTC